TAGTTTCAGAGGTCAGTGTTTCATACTGTCTCCAATCCCAGTAGGTCTCCACCCAGCTATCTTATTACCGCATTTTCTCTTGCAAACGAGCCAACCTGCAGCCTAGGCTGTATCTTCATTAGATCCATGAATCTCCTTCCAGTTGCCTTTCACCATAACCTTTACTGCTCTTGAGAATACCCTTGGGTTTAAACTTCCATGTATTCCCTTGCAAGTAAGGTCAGTTTCTATGGGAAGAGATCTTGGGCTGTTTTACAACCTGCCTCTTCCCTCCAGGCAAAATCTCTGAGCTCAGTGGCAAAATTCTGAGTCACACTCCCACTCTAGGAGCTGAGCAGTCTGGAAGGGAGGCAACAGCCTCTCCTGGTGTGGAACTCTCAACTCATAAGCCATGAGAAGGGCTAACAGGACCCCAGTATTCTCAGCATCTCACACCCAAGGTAGAGCCTGCTTTCCACAAATAGGGGCTAAGTGGAAGAAGGGAACCCCACCTCAACCAGACTCACCCAGGACTTACTCCCACAACAGGCAACTGGGAGGGGGATGAGATACACTGAAGTACTTCCTCCTCCCAGGAAGAAAGCCCTTTGGCTGGGAGATGGGACAAGAGAAGCCTATGTTCTTGGAGATACCAGTCTGGTGTGGAGTCCACCTCCCGTTGCTGGAGTAAGTTGTCTTGGTTCAGATACCACAGACTCTTGCCTTTCTTACTAAATTCTCATAGATTTTCTTGAATAGATGTATGTTTCTTTCTTTTCCTTCTTTTCTTTCATTCTTTTCTTTCCCTTTGTTTTCTTTCTCTTTCCTCCTTCCTTCTTCCTTCCTTTTTCTTTCTTTCTTTCTCTCTCTCTTTCCTTTCCTTTCCTTTTCTTTTCTTTCCTTCTTTCACAGTCTCATCCCATCACCCAGGCTAATCTCAGCTTGCTGCAACCTCTGCCTCCTGGGTTCAAGCTCCTACCTTAGCCTCCCTAGTAGCTAGGATTACAGGCATGTGCCACCATGCCCAACTAATTTTTGTATTTTTTTTTAGTAGAGACGGGTTTTCACCATGTTTGCAGGCTGCTCTCAAACTCCTGATCTCAAGTGATTGGCCCACCTCAGCCTCCAAAAATGCTGGGAATACAGGCATGAGCCACCACACCTGGCCTTGAATAGACGTTTGTTCATTTGCTGTTTGCCTTCAGGCCATTTCTAGAAGCTTTAATTTGTTCTCTTTCATTTTTATTTTGTTGGCCCCTGTCAACTCAGCTTTATTTTTTCTAAATAATTTTTACCAAGCTGGGTGTGGCAGCTCACAACTGTAATCCCAGGACTTTGGGAGGCCAAAGTGGGCAGATCATAAGGTCAGGAGTTTGAGCCCAACGTGTTGAAACCCTGCCTCTACTAAAACTACAAAAATTAGCTGAGTGTGGTGGCATGCACCTGTAATTCCAGCTACTCAGGAGGCTGAGGCCGGAGAATCACTTGAACCCAGAAGACGGAGGTTGCAGTGAGCCAAGTTCACCCCACTGCACTCCATCCTGGGTGAAACAGTGAAACTTCCATCTCAAATAAAAAAATAAAAATAGAGCTGGGCACAGTGGCTCACACCAGTAATCCCAGCACTTTGGGAAGCTGGTGGATCACCTGAGGTCAGGAGTTCGAGACCAGCCTGGCCAACATAGTGAAACCCTGTCTGTACTGAAAATACAAAAATTAGCTGGCTGTGGCTGCCTGCATGAGAGATAATGGTCTGCAGTTTTTGTTTTGGGGCGCTTTGGGGGTGTTGGCACTTTGTTAGTTTTGACATCAGGATATTTCTTGCCTTATAAAATGAGTTAATAAGTGTCCCCTTCTCTTTTGTTTTCTGGAAGAGATTGTTTAAAGTTGATGTTAATTCTAATGGTGTGGTTGGTGATTCTGGTTCCTGGGCTACAGCAGGCAGCCAAGTGTGTAGCACTGAGGCTTCAGGCAGGTCTGGGGGAGTCAGAGGGCAGTCCCTGATTTCATGAGCTTGAAGTTAGAACCCACAGAAGACTGAGGATGTTGAAAGCTCCCTTCCTGCCTGTGACAATGGCTACTCTGATTCCCCTGACCCCACTTAGGGGTGATGACAATGTCTCATTCATCTGTCTCCCTGGTGCCTGGCACCGGGGAGGAGGGGTGCTCAGTGAATCCGGGTGGCACAGCAGCCTGTGTGGAAGCGAGAGGCATTTCAGGAAATTCATGGGGCCGGCTTCCTCCTGGGAGGTGTGGCAAAGAGTGCTGCCAGGAACAGAGGGAAGCACTTTCTTCCCTTTTCCTTCTACTGCCTAGAGAAGTGTGGGGGTGGATGGGAGGTGAAGGGACAGATCACCGAGTTGCCAAGAGACCTGGAGACTGGCCCATCCGGGCCGCCTTCCCTGGTGCGCTCTAGCCGGCTCCATCCCTGGTTGGCATGGAGACAGGAGGCGGTTGCCACGGAGACCGACGACTGCCAGGACCAGCCAATCACTGTGGAGCTGCAGCTCCAGCTCACCTTTTGGATGGAGGCATCGGGCTCGGCGGGGCCCCCTCCCTCCCCAGGCCCTGCACCCTCTGCTCGGTCAGCGGGGAAGGAGGCTGCACCACCACCCCCACCCAAAGCGCTCCGAGCATCCCAGGATCCCAACCACCTCCCCAGTCTCCCACAACCAGGGTTCTAGGGACGTCCCCGCCTCTTCCCGGCCACGGGCTGATGCCACCCTGGGGCAGCCTAGCTTCCAATTGGCCCTGAAACCCTCCCTCGTAAAGGGGGGGAATACTGTGGAAAGGGCAGGACCAGGCTCAGGCATCCACCCCAGCTCCCCCTCGAAACAGCGCACAGCAAAAGGAAGGCCACAGCCGGGTGGGGCGGGGGTGGGGAGGGAGCCCCCACCCCCACGCCCTCCGCAGTGCCTGGCGAGCCCGCGCACGCTCACTCACGGGGACAGGCGGGCGGGGTGGCCTGACGTCACCCACTGCCCCCACCGCCCGGCCAAGGGGCGGTGGCCGCGCAGGCTCGGCGGGGTGGCAGTACGGACTGACGGAGGGTCAGAGGGACTGAGGGACTGGCGAGCACACGGCCAGGCCATGCCTGGGGAGGCTGCCCGCGCCGAGCTGCTGCTGCCGGAGGCGGACGGACCTGGGCCCCGCACAGGTGAGGTCATGACCACTCATTCCCTGCTTCCAGCCGCTTGCTCCCATCTCCAGCCCGGGTTCTTTATCCATCGCTCACCTTTCCTAGCCTTCTCCCTTCCCCATCCTCCTGACACCCTTCGAGTCCCCTCCCCTTTCTGCGCCCTGCCCTTCCCTCCACCTGAACCCTGCCACCGCCTCTCTCAGAATTGCAGGGAAGGTGGGGCACACGGAGTGCCCTCAGCGAGCCAGGAAGGACGTGGGGCGTAAGGCCTTGCCTCCCACCCAGGGGTGGTGGGGCTCACATCCCGCCCGCTGCATCCCGTTGTCTGCACAAACGGAGCTGCCAGCCAGCCGGGGCTGGGCTGCTCTGGACAGGGGCAGTGGGTTCCGGAGGCGGGGTGTCCAGCACCTACCCCCAGTACAATCAGGTGACCACTGGGAGGGTCCTCAGCTGCACCCGGGCTGTTCTGGGCTGAGGGACTGATCATGGCTCTGGAGGGAGAAGCAGGACCAGCCGGAGCCTGGGAAGCCCAGATAGCCACCCAGGTTGTGGAAGAAAGGCTAAGTTGGGTCTGGAAGGTCGAAGGCCTTGGGAGAGGTGGCCTGATTAGCAGTGGCCCTGGGTGTGCAGACCACCTGGGTGTGCAGTCCTTAGAGAGGCTGGGTCAACAATTACTGGTGGAGGCTGATGGAGTCTACCTGGGCCTAGAAAGATCCAACTCTGGACCATCCTGGCATGGAGGTCAGCCATGTGTGGGTAGGGCCAAGGGCACCTTGCTGTGGGCGAGAAGTCACCCAGAGATGGGACCAGTGCTGGGTCCTGGGGCCTGGTCTAGGGGTGACACAGGCTGCTGCCACTGCTCTAAGTGGTAAGCAGGCAGTGCAGGCCTAGACTTCCCAGCCCCAGAATCTTGTGCTGGCTCTGTTCTGGCTTCCTTGGTGACCTTGAATGAATTATAAAAAAAACTTTGGCCTTTGGTTTCTGTTCCATTCCAACAGCTCAGCTGTTCCCCTGCCCTGGGGGACACACCATGGGCCAGAGCCAAGAGCCCAGCTTCAGGGCACCCAGTGCTGCCCCGCCAGCCACACCCACTCCTGGTGTTGGGTGTCAGGCATGTGGGAACCCAAAGGACCCCCTTCTTTTCAGGACCCCCTGGCTGTCCCATTACCCCAGCAGCAAAGCCCTCAGGTGATGAGTTTTAATGGGTGGCCCAGGGCTCAGGGCTCTGATGTTGCTGAGGGGAGGAGGAGCAGCTTGGCAAGAGGGCCCCTTCTTTCAGCTTCACCTCTAATCCTGGCTCTGCTTTGCAGATGAGAAGGCTGAGGTACAGGAGATGTTATCCTGGTCACCGGTGAGTGCTGGCAGAGCAGGGGCCACTGGGCAGGCATCTGCAGCCTGGAGGGCTGGCCCCTGTGTGCCACCCCTCCCCCACTTTGGGCAAGACCTGGCCTGGGCACTGAAGGGCCTTGATTGGATGCTTCAAACAGAGGTGCCTTTGGCCTGGGTCCAAGTGAGGGAGTGGACATAATGGAGACATTTAAAATGAGGTTTATGAGCATTTAGAGCACACAGAAAAATGCTTATGAGATTCGTTGAGTGAAAACAGCTAGATTCAAAACTGAATGTGCAATGTGATCTCACCTATGATAAAATACAGGCTAGTAAGAATCCAGGAGGCAGAAAACCATAGTGGTGTGGTGTGCCGCAACCTCCGAGGGGGTTTCTTCTATCTTCCTGAGTCCCCTAAGTCCTTTCTGACCCACGTGTGCTACTTCCTATGTGCATGGACTCCTTTCTCAGCTGGAGGTGTGTTAGCTCACAGATGTTTACTGAGTACTGCAGCCTCCTCATGCTGAAGTCTGCCCAGGGGTTGGGGGAGTGTACCATGGGACCCAGGGAAGGCTCATAGGGTAGGGTGGGAGCTCCCAGCACCTGGGAAGGAACTGGTGCTCACCCATCGGGTGGCTGCCACCCAGGAGAGGACTCAGCCAGAGGCTGCTGTTGACCCTCTGAAGCTGTCCCATGCTCTTGCTGGGCTCCACGGTCACCACTCTTGCCCATCACTGCTTCTGTCCAAATGCTCCAACACAGCCTCTGCGGGACACTTCATCTCTGTTCTCCAGAAGTTTGGCTGTGTGTGGCGGCCCTGGCTTCCCGATCTCCCTGACCGCAATAGGGGAGCAGGGTTGGAGAGGCCTGGTGAAACCCTGATATGTTGGCCTCAAGTGTAGGTAGCAAGGACAGCAGAAAGAGGAGGCAGAGTGAGGCACGAGGCCTGCAGTGTTTTGAGCTGCGTGCCGGTGCTGCTTGCCTCATGTGGCTCATCTACTGGGAGGTCCTGGGAAGGGGCTGGTGCCTCCCGGCAGATTCCCACTGCCAGCCCCTCCTACCGAGCCCAGCTGAGCCGCACTGATTCTGTGGAATGGAAACTGCAATCCAGTCTCCCCAGAGAGGCTGAAATGCTGGTTCTTTGCTGAGGTGTCCTTGAGAAAAGCCGCCGAGCAGGTCTCCGCCGGGCAGGTCTGTTCATGACTCCTAGCAACACTTCCCTCAAAACCCCTCTCTAGGAAACTGCCAGCAGCCGCTCTCTGCTGTCAAAACTCCTGAAAGTTCTCCCTCAAATGCAGCGCAAACAGCGTCTTCCCTTTTCTTTCTGCCTTCCTGGATCTGCCTTCCTGGATCTGCCCTCCTCTGGGCTCTTTGTAGCATGAATTCATCTCCCTGGGCCTGGCCCTTGCCTGGGAGATGCATCCAAGGGCACCTCACGATCTTCTCTATCTCCACAGATCTGTCCTGTGATGCGGCTGCTGCTACCACCATCCTGGGAGGGGACCGGCGGGAACCCTGTGCTCTGACCCCAGGGCCCAGCCACCTGGCCCTCACGTTTCTGCCTAGCAAGCCGGGTGCCCGGCCCCAGCCCGAGGGAGCCAGCTGGGATGCAGGGCCTGGTGGGGCAACCTCAGCTTGGGCGGACCCAGCGGAGGGCGGCCCGAGCCCTAAGCTCCTCCCTGAGAGCCTGTCCCAGGCTCTGCCCACTGAGGCTCCTCTCCCTGCCACCCTGGAGCCCCGGATTGTGATGGGAGAGGAGACATGCCAGGCCCTCCTGTCACCCAGGGCTGCCCGGACAGCGCTCAGGGACCAGGAGGGTGGGCACACAAGCCTGGACCCACCCCCCGAGCTGTGTTCTCAGGGTGATCTTTCTGTGCCTTTCCCTCTCCCAGACCCTGACTCCTTCTTCACGCCTCCCTCCACCCCCACCAAGACCACCTATGCCCTGCTTCCTGGCTCCGGTCCCCATGGGGACGCCCAGGACTCAGAGGCTGAGATGCAGGATGAGCTGCTGGACTCACCCCCTGCCTCGCCCTCGGGCTCCTACATTACGGCTGATGGGGACAGCTGGGCCTCTTCACCCTCCTGTTCCCTCAGCCTACTGGCTCCAGATGAAGGGCTGGACTTCCCCTCAGGCTGGGGCCTGTCCCCCCAGGGGTCCATGGCAGACGAACGAGAGCTGCACCTTGCAGGGACCCCAGAGCCCCAATCCTCTGAGTCCAGCCTCTCTGCAGACAGCAGCTCCTCCTGGGGCCAGGAGGGCCACTTCTTCGACCTGGACTTCCTGGCCAATGACCCGATGATCCCGGCAGCCCTCCTACCCTTCCAAGGCAGCCTCATCTTCCAGGTGGAGGCAGTGGAGGTGACACCACTATCCCCAGAGGAAGAAGAAGAGGAGGTCGAGGCAGCTCCCGGCCCAGGCGGGGACCTGGCAGGGGAGGGTGAGGAGGACAGCACGTCTGCCTCCTTCCTCCAGTCACTGTCTGACCTGTCCATCACGGAGGGCATGGATGAGGCCTTCGCCTTCCGGGATGACACCTCTGCAGCCTCCTCTGACTCGGACTCAGCCTCCTACGCAGAGGTAGATGATGAAAGGCTGTACAGCGGGGAGCCCCACGCCCAGCCCACCCTGCTCCAGGACAGTGTCCAGAAGACAGAAGAGGAGAGCGGAGGCGGGGCTGAGGGGCTGCAGGCTCTGGAAGGGACTGTGTCCTTGGCCTTGGAGCCTGTTTCTCAGACCTCAGACAGAGGGGCCCATCTCTCCCAGAGACAGGAATCCTTCTCAGAAGTAACAGAAGACGGCCTTGCTTTAGGCCAGGAGTCCACTGCCACTGTGACCCCTCACACTCTGCAGGTAGCCCTAGGCCTCCAGGTGGAGGTGGCTACCAGGATGACTCCTCAGGCTGGGGAGGAAGAAGTGGACTCCACCCCTGGGCAAGCACCTGCTGCCATGGCAGTGCCTCAGCCCTCCCAGGAGGGCATCAGTGAGATCTTAGGCCAAGAGTCTGTCACTGCAGAAAAACTTCCAACTCCACAGGAAGAAGCAAGCCTCACATTGTGTCCAGACTCTCCGCAGAACTTGAAGGAAGGAGGAGGACTGGACCTCCTGTCAGGCCCGAAGCCTGTGGCTACAGCCACACTTGTGCCCCAGCAGGCTGAAGACGGCCTCACCTTACCCCAGGACTCCGCTGTGACATCACTTCTGCCCCGACAAGACACAGACCTCCCGTCAGGCCCAGACCCTGTGGCTGCAGCCAC